ATAATGAATTAAAGGTCTTAGGGTGTCTCTGTTATGCATCAACCTCACCCAAAAACAGACATAGAGCTCGTGCTTGTGTTTTTCTAGGTTATCCTTCTAGATATAAGGGATATAAACTCCTTGACCTAGAAACTAATGACATTTTTTTATCTAGCCATGTCATTTTTCACGAGGAACTCTTTCCTTTTGCTAAATCAGACTTATCTCAGGAAGCTAAATCTCTATTTCCTGATCTGATTCAGCATTCTCCTATGGTCATTCATTCTTCCAGTGATGATGCTTCTCCATCATCACCTTCTGTAGAGATTATTCCTTCTGATAATCCTACTATTGATGTTCCTGAACCTTCTGTTCAAACATCCCATAGGAGAACCAAAAAGCATGATTACCTTCAAGACTACTATTGTCATTCAGTAGGGTCTTCAACCATCCATGAAATCTCTCAGTTTCTTTCTTATGATAAAGTGTCAGTACTTTATTTTTCTTTTTTGCCCTGTATTGATAAAAAAAAAAAGAACCCTCAACCTACAATGAGGCAAAGGAATTTATGGTTTGGTGTGGAGCTATGGATGATGAAATTGGTGCTTTGGAAGGAACATGAACTTGGAATATTTGTACCTTACCTCCTAATAAAATCAGTATTGGTTGCAAATGGATTTATAAAATCAAGTATAATGCTGATGGAAGTATTGAGAGGTATAAGGCACGTTTGGTCGCCAAAGGTTACACGCAGCAAGAAGGAGTTGATTACACAGACACGTTCTCCCCTGTTGCTAAACAAACATCAGTGAAACTTATTTTGGCAATTGCTGATGTCTACAATTTGTCTCTTACACAGATAGACATATCAAATGCCTTTCTCAATGGAGACCTTAATGAAGAGATATATATGAAGCTACCTCCAGGCTACTCTACACGTAAGGGGGACTCTCTCCCTCCTAATGCAGTCTGTAAACTCAATAAATCACTATATAGGCTTAAGCAAGCATCCCGACAGTGGTTCCTTAAGTTTTCAACTACTCTTATTGCCTTGGGGTTTGCTTCTTCTTACTTTGATCATACTGTTTTCCTGAAGATTACTGATGTTTTGTTCATGGTTGTGCTAGTCTATATTGATGACATAATTATAGCTAGCAACAATGATGCTGAGGTGACTGTTTTGAAGGAACAACTCCATTCTCACTTTAAACTGCGTGATCTTGGCCCTTTAAAATATTTTCTGGGATTGGAGATTGCTAGAACTTCTAATGGTATCTATATTGGTCAGCGTAAGTATGCATTGGATCTGCTTGATGATACATGCTTACTTGGTTGTAAACCATCTAGCATTCCCATGGATTCCAGTGCGAAACTTTCTAAAGACAGTGGTGGTGATTTTGTGGATGTCAAGTCTTACAGGCGCCTTATTGGCCGGTTAATGTATCTTCAGACAACCCGTCCAGATATTACATTTGTTGTGAACAAACTTAGCCAATTCTCTGAAGCTCCAAGAAAATCTCACCTCAAGGTTGTCTACAAAGTTCTACATTACATCAAGGGCACCATTGGATAAGGTCTATTTTATTCTGCTAAGTCTGAAATGCAAATACAACTTTTTGCAGATGCAAATCATAGTTCTTGTCTTGATACCAGAAGATCAACTTCTGGCTATTGCTTGTTTTTGGGCTCTTCTCTCATATCCTGGAAGTCCAAGAAACAACAAATTGTTGCTAAATCTTCTGTTGAGGCAAAATACAGGAGTCTCTCCTTTTCCACAGATGAACTGGTGTGGCTCACTCATTTTCTTCAGGAACTTCGCATTCCTTTAGTTAACCCTTCTCTGGTCTTCTGTGATAGTACTGTTGCGATTCATATTGCCAATAATCAAGTCTTTCATGAGAGAACAAAGCACATGGAACGTGACTGTCATAGTGTTCGTGAAGAATTGGTTGCCGGCTTCTTCAAACTACTACACATCAGTACCAACCTCCAACTTGCTGATCCATTCACTAAACCTCTCTATCCTGCAGTGTTCAAGCAATTGGTAAGCAAGATGGGTCTACTAAACATCTTCGCCCCATCTTGAGGGGGACTATTAATATACATCCGATTGTGTATAGTTTGAGTTTGTATTTAAGAGTCTCTGTATATATTAGAGTCTTTAGATTACGGTTTAAGGCTTTGGTTTAGGCCATTGGTAATTGTATATAAACTCATATCTTGTATCATTTGAGACTTAATGAGAAAGAGATTATGTTCACTAATAATTACCAAGAGGAATGAGTTGAAATCCGGGTGCCAAATCCATCAATTTGCGTCTGTAATAAATCCACTTTCATATCAAACGCACTAGAGCAGCCAATTTTATCGCAGACGAAGAAAAACGGTGGAGCAACAACGACCGTCCGATTGACAAAAATGGTGGCTCGGAATGAATCTGGAATTGGCTCGAACCTAACCGATCCACTAATCTGAAGAGAAACAATTGATCGATGTCTGAAACTCGCGAAACTTGAAAGAAAAGAAGAAGATTTGGAAATCGCTTACCGTTGGTATGTGGAAGCAGGGACCGAGGAACTGAGGTTATCACTTATTAATCATCGTCGTCCCTTTGATGTGTTGTCAATCGTTAAAGAAAGAGAGACTTGCCGAGACAGCGTTTTTTTCTACTTAAAAATCTCACACTTTTTGGGCATTAACGGACCCTTTGGTCGACAATATCAATGATACATTGTTTTGGTCTTATATCAACGGGCCATTCATATGGGCAAATGGCTCCAAAACTAGATATTTGGTCTTTTTGTGAGTCGTAAATGAAATGTCACAATAGTTTTAAAGATTTTCGTAAAACTTCATGTGTTTATGTCCATTTTATGACTATATGATTTGACACTCATAAAAAGATTATCCCACCACACATTTGTTTTTTCTTATTTTCTAACCTATATATTTTATTATTTTGAAGTATACTTTACTTCCATGTTCTAACTTTAGTTTGGTATGATTTTTTAAGTTCGAATGCTAACAATTAAAGATTGAATTCTAATAATAAAAGATATATGCAAATAAAAATATTTCCTAGAAAAATGGCAAGATAATTTGGAGATTGAATAGCAATTGGAAATGTGTAATTAGGATTGGCGTTAGTTATCTTTGGTAAGTTTTTAGTATACTTTTTTTTTTAGAATATTAATGTGATTTAGTTACTACCAACTATTTTCTAGCCTTTGTAATTAGTTTTTATTTTTATTTTAAATATTATAATTGATATATTTTAAAATCAATAAACAAATTATAATTTTATGAATATTTAAACATATAAAAGATTTAAAATAACACGGAACGGATTATATTGCAGGACGGGGTTATATGGCGGGACGGTTTTTGTGAAAGAAAACGAGGACGGATTTGACTCAATATTAATAAAATTTTAAATATCATTAACTGGTCACTTTAATATGGGTTGGACTCTCATTTAGTTTTTTTTAACACTACCAATATTATACATATCGAATCAGTCTGGTAGTTTCACGATATAAAATCTACATACTATTACACTTAGAATATCACAAAGGTATGTCTTATTAAAAACGGTAAAGAATCAAACTTACGTTACGGTACCAATAAACATACAAAATTAATACAATAGGTTCATTAGTTTATAAAAAAAAAAAATTATTTTCCGGGTCATATCCTAGTGCTTTCACTATTTTCGTAACAATTCAGACATCAATTGGTAATCATACGAAAAATATATAAATAAATACCCTGCAAAGAGTGTATTTCGTGTAATATTCTGGACTTAAGGCTTCAATATTTTTCTAACCAAAAAACAAAAAAAAAAAAAACTATTTACTTGCTATTTAGGAGTATGAATGGTAATAAGAGGAAGAAGAAAATCATCATTGAATAGAATTTGATTCTCACATCGACTCCCATGTAAAGGCCATCCATGTTTGCTGAGTTTGACTCTTTTTTTTTTTTTTTTTTTAACTCGTCATGACATGTTTGTTACTACTAAACTAGTCCAATTCAAACTGTCATTTCAAAAATTGGACCAATCAATTTTTTAGTATCACGAGACTAAAACATAACATCCAAAAAAACAAACTTTGGAATCAGGGGATCAATCCGATCGAGTCATGTTATAATCTTGTTCGTCAAAACTCAGATCACTAACTTAAACTTGCAGATTACAAAAGTAGAAGAGAATTTTTAAAATTTTCAAAGTTAGCACAATCTAACAAGAAAATACATGGTAGAATGACAGCAGTTCCATGATGAACCAACAGTGGAGAAAGTCTGGAGTCATGTTATCATCTAGTATATTATTTATACTAAATTCATGATCATCTCGGTCTCCCACCCGTATTTAGAAACGAAACTTGCCGTGTTGTATTGTCGACTAGAGAGTTATGATGATCTGACTTTATTTCGGATGTGAATATCATTAATGAACGAATGTTTGGTGATATAGAGGCCCGAATACACCCAACAGTTGTGGAGTTCACAGTTCAATATTGATCGTCAGATGTAGTTGCTGGCATTTGCAAACTCAGTTGGAAACTTGGGAGATTTTCCCTTATAAATAACATGAGTATATATTATCTATTTGGAGAGATCAAACCCCAAAACATACAAACACAAGCACTAAGGGTAAATCTAAGAAAAGTAAAAGAAAAGCTTTGCGCTTGATAATGATTTAATACAAACAAGAATCGAACTTATATTTACCACATTCTGCGTTTTTTTCTGAAAAAACGAAACCAACTCAACATAACCCATTGAAACATTTCATGAAATACCTGGCAGGCAATACTTTACATTTTGGAGAGATTCACATACATATCATAAAATCTCTTGATACATTAATGAAACAGAGGGATCGATCAAACCCCAAAACATACAAACACAAGCACTAAGGGAAGATCTGACAAAAGTAAAAGAAAAGCTTTGCGCTTGATAATGTCTTAATACAAACCCGAATCGAACTTATATTTAGCACATTCTACGATTTTTTCTGAAAAAACGAAACCAACTCAACATAACCCATTGAAACATTTCGTGAAATACCTGGCAAGTAATACATGTAAGCAATGCCTTTGTGTTTTTAAGTCTGGTTTGAGAGGATGACTGAGGAAGAAATGTCTTGGGCAGAGTCGAATTGGGTTTCATCTGAAGGAGAAGAAGAGTCGTTATAAGGAGATCTTTGGATCTTCTTTAGTTCTTTGGCAACTTCCACCATCGTTGGAACTTCTTCACTAGGACCGATGCATCTCCGTGAGAGCATTAGGAAAGCATTCATTTGACAAAGCTCTTGTTCTGAAATGTGACCCATCTTTTCTATCATCTTTGGATCTGCAATCTCTTCCATTCGTCGGTCTTCCTTTAATTTTGACATAACATTTTGAACACGTCTTTTCATCTTACTGGCATAACCAGTATCAGAACCTCCACCTTCACTTTCTTCTTTTTCTCCTATGCGTCGGTTTCCTAATAGAAGCCTTCTACCCATAAACATTCCAAAGGCAAATACATCTGTTTTCTCTGAGACTACTCTGTCAAGGCTTATGCCACTATCGTCCAATAACCAACTATAGAATCCCTCTGCTCTGTCAACCCGGACAAATGTTTCTCCTTCTGGGATTGAGACGCAGAAAGAGAAATCAATCAGCTTGGCGACCCCATCTTCATCCAATAAGATATTCCAAGGAAACAAAGTCCTATATACGAAGGGCCTAGGGAATGCAGTGTGAAGGTAAGCTAAAGCAGTAGCGATATCTTCTGCTATCTTCATTCTCCTTTTCCACGTCTGTTCACTTATTTTTAATCGATAGTGTTTCTTCACACCATCATAAACCAAGACTGGCTTTTCCAACTCAAGACAACATCCAACCAATTTCAAAAAGTTTTTGTTCACTAAAACCAACTCAAGACTGCAATTTCATGTTTCACTTTACTATAGATGTGAATGTCACCTTTGAACCTATGATGTTTAGTGAGATAGAGGCCCCAAATCCACCAAACAATCATGGAATTCACAGTTCAATATTGATGGCATTGTTCATATGTAATTGCTGGAATTTGCAAACTTACATCAATTAGCCCTGTTTCCCAACTCACTATGTAAACTTTAGAATTGTTATGGTCTTATTGACTTGGGAGACTTAACCTTTATAGTAGACATCAATATATTATCAATACAAGCAAGATTCACATATATCATAAAATCTCTTGATAACATTAACAAAAACAGACGGATCGATCAAAACCCAAACACAAGCTCTAAGGGTAGGATCTGACAATAGAATTAAAAGTAACGTAGCACTATAATGGATTTCCGTTAACCCAGAGATTAAGAACAACTTCGATACTCAATTAGCTAAGATCTGATCGATTACCAAAGTATTAATGAATCCGAAATAAGAGATACAATCGTGAACTCTCACTCGCAAACGATTACAAAGAGATAAACATAGATCTCTCTTTTAGCACATCGCTAGACCAAAGTCTCACAATGAACTCACAATTGTTTATTAATACAACAAAAAAATTACGTAAAAGTAAACGAAATGAAACTTGATAATGTTGAAATACGAACATGAATCGAACTTATTTTCAGTACATTCTTCGATTTTTTTACTGGAAAAAAAAAAAAAAAAAAACCAGCTCAACATAACCCATTGAAACATCTCGTAAAATACCTGGCAGGCACTTGTTTGCACTTAGCAATGCCTTTGTGTGTTTTAAGTCTGGTTTGAGAGGACGACTGAGGAAGAAATGTCTTGGGCAAAGTCGAAATGGGTTTCACCTGAAGTAGAAGAAGAGTCGTTATAAAGAGATGTTTGAATCTTCTTTAGTTCTTTGGCCACTTCCACCATCGTTGGAACTTCTTCACTAGGACCGATGCATCTCAGTGAGAGCATTCGGAAAGCTTCCATTTGACAAAGCTCTTGTTCTGAAATTTGACCCATCTTTTCTATCATCTTTCGATCTGCAATCTCTTCCATTCGTCGGTCTTCCTTTAATTTTGACAGCCAATATCCAGCATAATACTCAAAATAATATTGGTTTCCTAATAGAAGCGATAGACCCATAAACTTTCCAAAGGCCAAGACATCTGTTTTCTCTGAGACTACGCCACTGCTCATCATGTAACCATCGTACAAGTAACTATATAATAAGATATCTTCTCTGTCAACCTGGACAAATGTTTCTCCTTGTGGGATTGAGACGCAGAGAGAGAAATCAATCAGCTTGGCGACCCCATCTTCATCCAATAAGATATTCTCAATAGACAAACTCGTATATACGAAGGGCCTAGGGAACGCAGTGTGAAGGTAAGCTAAAGCAGTAGCGATATCTTCTGCTATCTTCATTCTCCTTTTCCACGTCTGCTCACTTATTATTAATTGATAATGTTTCTTTACACCATGATAAACCAAGACTGGCTTTTCCAACTCAAGACAACATCCAACCAATTTCAAAAAGTTTTTGTGACCACTCACCATCGATGAAACTGCTATGTCCCGGCACATAAGATCTGTCCTCAAGCTCCAAAAGCGAGCACGTTTCTTGATGAGTATCATGGGATGGTTCTCGTTCTTACCTGAATACCAATCGGAGTAATAAGCTAATCTAAAAACATGATTAGATTTGCTGAAATTGTTGGTGGCTTTGAGGATCTCATCAGCAGAGAAGAATTTGATGGGATTGGATATGCCATGGCCTAATTCGATGAGATCTTTCAACACCATCGCCCCTCTCTCCAATGTTCGCTTCTTATTCATCTTCCTCCAAAACCAACCCATCTCTAACCTAAATTGTTTTTTGACTTTTTCTATAAAAAAAAAGAGACTTTACTTAGAAGATTCAAGACCTCACACAATGAGTTGAAATCAAGATGGATATTTAGATCAGATTTTTAAGGTTCTCAATTCTTGTTGAATTTTCAACACTGACGTCCTCCCGCGTAAATCAGAAATATACATTTTTTTAATTGTTTAAATCAATTGTGAAGAAAGTAGTTGCGACCAAACTATCTTCCAAGTTTTATCTTATCAAATTCATAAGGATTAAACCCGCAAGACAAAAACTTATTTTTAGTTCAAATCATTTTTTAACTTTAATAAAAACGGTATCAAAGGAGACTTTCAACAATTTTGAATTTACGCTCATGACAAATATGAACATTCGTTTTCCTCCAAACTAAATGTATAGTAATTTGTGAGGCTAAGTACCTCTTCGTCCATAATCGAAGCGACGGGGTTAAGTAAGTAAACATGGAGTTCATTGGGTTAACTGAAAAGCGAAATCATTTTACATCTGGCAGATCTAATGGCAAACAAAGTAGGAAGATGTTTGATCGTTTCATGTCCATTATATTGCTTAGATACATACATTGTTCCCTCCTAAACAGAGAAGTCTATATTTGGTTGGAAGTCTCCCTCTAAGCCCGAGTCATGAGATGAGGTGTAATATCCCGGCTCAAATTAACTTTTGATTTTTCTTGAATTTTCCTTAGTAGTATCTCGAGAAATATGGGTTTTGGCTCGGAGAATTTTTAAATTTCGTAAAGTTTAAATTGCATGGTATGGAACCGAAGAACGGCTTTTTCATAAATCAACTCAATAGGTATGTTCAATTTATACCTTAACTATAACTCTGTGCATATACATAACCGAACTAAGCAAAATTTTAAATTAACTACCTAATCTTATCGTTTTGTGCAAAAACATGCATATCTCGAGATATTGTTAACATCTTATATATTAAAGCAGAAGTAGAAACGCCTCACGTTCGCTCTCAGAATATGAGCGGACGTTTTTGCCCCCCTCCCCCTTTAATTAGATAAAATTAGTTAAATTGCCAAAATATTTTAAAAAAACGTGTGTTTAAATATGTTAATATTGCCATATTCATTAGGTCGTCGTATAGAAACCATAATCTGATCATTGGGCTTATTTTCTGTCTAAAAAATGGCCCGGTATAATTTACACCGTCATAAGTAAAACCCTAAAACCTTATGTTAGAAATGCCTATAAATATATGAAGTCTCCCTAGAAACTCAAACATCACGGCTTGATTTTTATGCATAACCATTATGGTTTATAGTTCTTTTTTGTACCTCAAAATAGGTCCTTTCTATGATGCGTCGTCATCGATATTTCGTTCTCTTTTTTCTGTTATGGTCACTTGGAAAGTAAGATCTCAATATCTCATAGATCTTTGCCAATTGTTGATGAGTTTTTCTAAACGAGGTTTATAGTTTGGTCGATTACATGTTTTTGATTAGCACCTTCTTCTCTGATTAGGTACATGCACAAACTATTTGGATTGTGGACTTGCGAACGAAGCTCAAAACAATCTAAGGTATCTTTCTATTCCTATTTGATCTATGCGTATAAAAGACAAAAAAAAATCTTATAAGTATCTTATTCGTGTAGAGATACCTAATTTTCCGGTTATGAAGGGATTAATTCACAAATATTCATTGAAATAAATGCTGCGAATAATGATGAATAATTAATTACGTCCGTGGATCCTATATATTAATAAAAATTTGAAATACATATATCAATAAGAATTATATGAATCTGTTATGTATCTATATTTTTGATATGCTAATCTTATTGGTTTGATATTATCCATCATATCCTTTTGATTTTTTTTTGTTTTTTTTTTTGAATTCGATTATTGTTAAGAAATTAGCTAATAATATCTATCTAACCTTTTAAACAAAAAAAGGGAGATAGAGATAGATATTTGCAATTTCGATTGGAACCGTTCCATAATTTCTAATTATTATTTTTTATTATTTGACGTTATCCTATATATTAGAAAAATAAAGAATAAAGAGTATTAAGATAACTACTTATTATGTATTATTAACAAATCTATCGAGATTGAATGATATATACGAATATTGGATAGTATTAAACATTTTCAGTTTAATTTCCAAATAAAAAGGTTATTGTTACAAATTTACATTTTTTTATTTTACTTTTTTCTAGCAACTTTTGTGTTATTATTATATAGGTGTACTAGATCATCACCCGTACTACAGTACGGGTTAAAATTTATTTATTACAAAATTTATATATTATATATTTTAGAATAAAGTTATGATATATTATAATAGTAATTGAAAAAATATAATTAGATTGTTGTGAGTCCCTATATATAATATTAGAATGAATCTATTTTCTTTTTTTAATTATACTCAACTATGGATATATTTTTTTAAGATATAAAAACGGAAAATAAAATTATTTTAATAAATTAATATGGTCTGAACAATGAGTTAATTTATATTAACAACCACAAAATGAGATTGCATATAATTCAGTTAGATCAAAAATCAAAATATTATAAATGAATCGCTTCTAAAACTTAGGGGGTGTTATTCAATGGTGGAGTCAAAGTCAATTCTGTAAGGTTTAGATTTGTTTTCTGATATTGGTTTTAAGAATCTGTTTGTGTAGATTTCAAAATCTCTGCAGTATATCTTGGATTTTGATTCTAATAATTTACTCATGAAACTCCAAAGAGGTTTCATTTGAAATGACTTAATATACAAAGATTTTACAAGTCTTTTAGTTTTGAATAACACTGGATTTTACAAATCTTAAAGAATTGACTTTAACTCCACCATTGAATAACACCAAACTTTTAAAATCTAATAAAGTATAAGATCTAATAACACCCGATTTTAACTTTAGATTTATAATCATTAGTTGAATAACACTGGATTAGTGTTGGATTTCAATTCTATTAAAATCCATCATTGAATAACACCAGCTAAGATTATTTTTAATTAATTAAGAAAGTTAGCTATTATTTGGAATTAATTTAGGAAATTCTTTTTTCAATTTTTAATTATTTGGTTGTTGAAATAGAGATTTTTTTGAGGTAACTACGGAATTTACCAATTATTCGCGTAATCGAATATGTTATGAACATATATTTAGTATATAATATACCAAATTCAACCCGTGCATGGAGTCTATATTTTTATTTTAGAATCCTAATGAAAACATTGCGTGCACAATCTATTATTCGTTATTTCCAAAATTGCTTGCACAATCAAATTTTCAAATATTTTGTGGTGTCAACCTTATTTAATCTATCTGATCATATAATCTTAACATGTCGTCTATTATAAGGGTCATAATTTTATATCATATAATATATTATATTTAACCCTCCGCCTACTATAACTATTTTAAATATATCTTTTTAGAAAATCAAATTAAAGTATTTATAATTTTTTTTATCTTTTTAATCTATTAAATATTTATGATATTCATTAAAATATTAAATTTAACTATTTTTAAATGTTCCAAATTAAAATCTTTTAAAATATTTATTGTAGTATATAAAATTATGAATTTCAAAAAATAATTATAAAAAATTAAATAGAAATATTCAAACAGTTATAAGGATAATAACTCATTTGTTAATATAATATATTATATTTAACCCACTGCCTATTATAAATATTTGTTTTTAATTAATCAAATTAGAGTATTTATTGATGATATTCTTTAAATATTGATGATATTCTTGAAAAATATCAATTAAAACTAATTTTATATGTTGCAAATTAAAATATTTAAAAATCTTATGTAGTATATAAAATAATACATTTCAAAAAATAAATATATGAAATTGAATATAAATATTCAAATTCTGACCCGTTAGTCAGTCAAAATTTTTGTTGAACTTATTTTTGGTTAAAAGAAATATATTACTCAAATATGAATTTTTGACCCGTTAAATTTTTTTCTTCATAGATTTAACAATTTAAATTCGTTTTTAAAAATTCAAATCTTGGCATATGCAGAAAAAATTTACTTTTTTTTTGTTATATGGATGACATGATGATTTATTTGTTTCATAAAAATAGAATCATATAAAGATGAGAGGTGAAGTATAATGATTAATAACAAATTAATATGGTTAGTTAGATATCAAATCTTATATGTTCATTTTGATTGGTCATTCTTTTTTTAAGTTAATAATATATTTTCGTTTTTAATAATTAAATTAATTAAATTTCATAAATTAGTATTTGACTTGTTTATCATTATTGAGCTAAATTAATTTACTCTTTATATTTTTATCTCTAATGGTATTCTAATGTAATAACTTACAAATGAGAAAGTTATTAAAGGGTAATTATAAATTGTACTCCCCAAATAATAGTATAGGATATATTAGTCCATAAACAGTGGAGTGTTTCTATTTTGGATTTTTATAAAGTTAAATGAATCTGTGTAAATATTGATATTGACATTTTGTTAAAAGAATATTTTGGGGTTATTGAGAATCGGGATAATTTCCTTTTTAGAAAAACTATCTAGAGTTATATATTGATGAATCTTGATATTTAATTGGTAAATACGAATATTTGAGATCAATACAAATAGTATATTTCTGTAATATGTTTTCCGTTTTTTGTTGTTTGTGTATATATTACGATGATTTAAAATTCTATCTTTCTTATATATTAAAGGAGAAGTCGAAACTGCTCACCTTCGCTCTCACAAATTGAAAGTACTCTTTTGCCTTTAAGGAAATTGCCTAATTTAATTCTGTTGAAAAATTTTCTTTTTTCTATAAAAAATATTTGAACTGAATATTAAAAAAAATGTTAAGATACCCGAATATGTTTAGTGGGTTTATTTTCAGAAAAAAAATGGCATGTTATAAATTACATCGTCATATGTAAAACCCTAAAACCCTATGTTACAAAACCCTATAAATATAAGATGTCTTTCATGAAACACAAACATCACATTTTTTATTTTATGCATCTTCGTTATGGTTTATAGTTTTTGATTTGTACCTCAAAGTTGGTCTTTTTTATGATGCATCTTCATCAATGTTTTGTTCTCCTTTTTTATGTTATGGTTTCTCGGAAAGTAAGATCTCATAGATCTTTGTCAATTGTTGATCAACTTCTTAAACGAGATTTATAGTTTACCATGTTACATGTTTGGATTTTCATAATTGGTTTGTTGTCCTATATGTGTATATTAATTAGCCTTTTTTCAGGCACATGCATAAACTATTATGATTGTGGATTATAAACTATTTGTGAAATTAAGGTATTCTTTAATTTGATATGCTCTACACGTTTCAAGAAATAAATTCTTAATATTTTTTTTTTCTCTGGGCTCACGTTGATAGGTGCACTAATGAAAGAATTATTTATGATTGTGGATTTGCAGAAGAAACTTGATTGAAATTAAGGTATTCTTTAATTTGATCTGCTCTACACATCAATAAATAAATTCTTAATATTTTTTTTTTTTGGTCTCACGTTGATAGGTACACCAATGAAAGAATTAATTATGCCGATGGATGTGTTCTGGTATGATTTAAAGTAAGGTTGGCTGATTTTTCAGCCCTATACTAATTACAATCTCAACTTTTCACCCCAAACTTTTTGTCTCTAAAAAAACCACCATAAAAAACTTTAATCTTAATAAAACTACACATACTTTCGGATTTGTTCTTAAAACTACGCCTCCAATTGAACCGATCAGTTAACCGGTAATATCTAATCCGGTTTGATTTATCCAGAATTTTGACCAAAGTTAATCAATTTTAACTCTATTTTAACCCAATTTTGACCCAAAAACAAATATAAAAGAAAACAAATGTCTTCTCTATAAATAAAATTATTATTTTTATTTATTTATTTAAAATTAATTTTACCAAAAAAAAATATACCATAAAATAATATGAAAGTATACCACAAAAAACAATATATAACAAATTTTCGGTCTATACTTTTGTTTATATAACAAAATATACAACAACAAAAAATATACCAAAATAGACCACAAATTATTTTTTGTCCTATATTTTGTTATAAAATTTTGGTAATATAACAAAATATACATTTTCTTTTTGGAAATCATTTTTCTTATAAATTCATTTTTCTTTTTAAAAATTCAAAGGTTGGTTATATATATAGATATATATATATATATATATATATATTATTTTGATTTTAGAAAAAAAAAATTATTTTTGAATTTATAAAAGAAAAATTATTGCCAAAAATAAAATGTATATTTTTAATATCACCACAAATCAAAGTATATAGTATGGTGTATATATATATATAAATGAATTTGGTATGATATATATATATATATATATATATATAAAATTCAAAGGCATTTTTCTTTTAAAAACCACCATATATATATATATATTATATAAATATATATATATAACCGACCTTTGAATTTATAAAAAAAAAAACTAAATCTATAAAGAAAAATGAATTTATAAATATCATAATATATACTTTAATTTGATTTGTGGTGTTTAAGGATATATATATATATATATATATATATATATAAATGATTTTTGCATATACTTTGAATTTCATAATATAAAAAATTCAAAGGTCATATATTATGATTGCCAAAAAAAATTATTATTTTGGTTTTTTTTTGTAATATTACCAAAAGTATATACCAAAATTTTATTATATAATTTTTTGTGGTTTATTTTTTTTTATCTATTTTTGATAAAATTAAGTTATAATTTATAATTTTAATTGTTTATAAAATAAATAAATAAATAAATTTCTTTATAGAAAAAACATTTTTTTTCTTTTATATTTGTTTTTGGGTCAAAATTGGGTTAAAATAGAGTCAAAATCGATTAATTTTGGTCAAAATTCTCGGTAAGTCGAACCGAAACAAATATTATCGGTTAATTGATCGGTTCAATTGGAGGCGTAGTTTTATGAACAAATCCGAAAGTACGTGTAGTTTTATTGAGATTAAAGTTTTGTTGGTGGTTTTTTCAGAGGTAAAAAGTTTAGGGTGGAATGCTGAGATTGCAACTAGTATAGGGCTGAAAAATCAGCCAACCCTTTAAAATATCAAATTCTTATGAATTTTTTTAATAGTTAGGTTTTGTGCCGTCACCTATTTTGTATACTTTAGATCTGATTTTATCTAATATTAAATTTTATTGTTTTGAAGGATATGCCCCATATCCTGCTGCAACGTTATTTACAAAGTAATCTCTAAGATCATCGCAAATAGACTCAAAACCATCCTACCGCAATTCATCTCGCCAAATCAATCTGCATTTGTCAAGGACTGTCTTCTAATGGAAAATGTCTTGTTGGCATCAGAAATAGTAAAGGATTATCACAAAGACATGGTATCAGCTCGAAGTGCCATAAAGATAGACATATCCAAAGCTTTCGACTCGGTACAGTGGCCTTTCCTCCTCAACGTCTTGTCAGCTCTAAACATTCCGCAGCAATTCATTCAATGGGTTGAACTTTGTGTTACAACAGCCTCCTTCTCGGTGCAAGTTAATGGAGAATTATCTGGATTGTTTCGAAGTACACGAGGCCTAAGGCAAGGATGTTCAATTTCTCCTTACCTTTTCGTCATATGTATGAATGTTCTATCAAAGATGCTAGACAAGGCTGCTTTGGAAAGGAAGATAGGGTTCCACCCACGATGCAAAAATCTCAAGTTAACACATTTGTGTTTTGCGGATGACCTGCTTGTGTTTACAGATGGGAAAAAAAGATCTATAGAAGGAATCCTCCAGTTATTCACGGAGTTTGCAGAGTTCTCTGGCCTGAAGATAAGCCTAGAAAAATCAACATTGTACATGGCAGGGATAGATGAAAGGGATAAGGAAATGATCCTTCAAAGCTTTCCTTTCGACTCCGGACAACTACCCGTTAGATATCTCGGACTCCCTTTGCTATCTAAGAGAATGACAACTTCAGACTATTCTCCACTCATTGAAAAAATAAGGGACCGGAATGGTTCCTGGACTGCTCGGCACCTCTCCTTTGCAGGGCGACTGCAGCTCATAAGTTCAGTCATTCAGAGCCTCACCAACTTTTGGATTTCTGCGTTTAGACTCCCAAGTGCTTGCATATCAGAAATTGACCGACTCTGTTCAGCATTCTTGTGGTCCGGACCTGCTCTAAACCCAAAGAAAGCCAAAGTGGCATGGAGAGATGTATGTTTACCTAGAGAAGAAGGCGGTCTAGGTCTAAGATCAATACATGAAGCAAATAAAGTCAGCTGTTTAAAACTGATTTGGAGAATAACCTCCTCCGACTCCTTATGGGCACAATGGATAAAGCTATATCTCATACGGAAAGGTTCCTTCTGGTCACTTAAGGAAAAAACATCAATGGGGTCTTGGATGTGGAGAAAACTCCTCAAATACAGGGAGCTTGCTGCAAGTTTTACTAAAATAGAGGTGATGAATGGAAGAGAAACTTCTTTTTAGTATGATAATTGGTCACAAATGGGGAGGCTTATTGATTACACGGGTCAGAGAGGATGTATTGATATGGGGATAACAATTCAGTCCTCACTAGCAGAGGTGATTGCAACACATAAAAGAAGAAGGCACAGAGTTGAAAATCTCAACAAAATGGAGGCAGGGATTGATGCAATTAAAACAAAGGGGCTGACACACGAAAGAGATGTAGTGCTATGGAAAGGCAAAGGAGATCGATACAAGACCAAATTCAGTACTAATGAGACATGGGACGCAATTCGGGAAGCTAGGCCATGTATGGAATGGTGCGAGGGTATTTGGTTCCTCCATGCCACACCCAAACACTCTTTCATATCATGGCTTGCAATAAAGAATCGCTTAGCAACTGGAGACAGAATGCTAACTTGGCAAAATGGAGTAGACCCGTCTTGTGTTTTCTGCACTCAACAAATTGAAGACAGAGACCACCTCTTCTTTAAGTGTTGCTATGCTGAAGAAATCTGGTCTGGTTTGAGCCGTAAGATACTTGGACAGAAATTCACCACATCGTGGAGTGATGTTCTCAGGATCCTCACTTTTCAGCTAGCCATATACTCAATATGGAGAGAAAGGAACAGTCGGAGGCATGGAGAAACACCGATACCACCACTGCAGCTGCTTCAAACTCTTGACAAACAAGTTCGGAACAGGATCTCCTCGATTCGAGAACAAGGAGATAGGAGGTACGATGGATGCATGGAAGCTTGGTTTGCTTCGAGATAAACACTACAAGGGAATAGTTTGTAATTTTATTTCATCACTTATTAACCAAACGATGCACTTGATGTAAAAACGTTTTTTCGAATAAATTTTACATTTTATTCAAAAAAAAAAAAAAAAAAAAAAAAAAAAAAAAAGAAGAAGGATATGCCCAAGATTGTGGAATTTTGTCACTAATGCCACTTTCTCAGAAAAAGTAATCGTTTATGTCACTCTTATATTATATTTTATATTTTATTTTTCTTTTAATACAAAATCGGTAGTAAATGTCAGAAAACCCTTACCCTAATTTAGTATTTACGTACCCTTGTCATTGCCAACCTAACAACATAATTATTTTATCTTCTCCTCCTTCTATTTCATTTTCACGCTTCTCCTCCTTCATCTCTTTCTCCTTCATCTTCTTCTTCTTCTTCTTCTTCTTCTAGATTTTTCGAATCCTTAACCCTAGATCTCTTCTTTCTCATCTGAATTTTTCGTATCTTTAACCCTAGATTTCTTCTTCTTCATCATTACCTTCAACGAAATCCTAGATCTCTTTTTCTCCATGGATCTTTCTTAGCTTCCATCTCTTCGATCTTCTCATTCTAGATCCATAGATCTTCGTTCTTCTCACAGATCTGAGATTAACAACAATCCCGATCTAGATTTCTCCAAAATCGGCTGTGTAGTGACGAAGTAGAATCGGCGGTGGAGGAGAATGGGCGGAGGAAGAGAATCGACGGTGGAGGAGAATCGGCGGCGACGACAATGAACAAAGCAAGAAGAGACGATGATGGCGCTAGGGTTTATAATTACAAATTGCTTAAATTTTACCATTTGTACCAGTTGTCTCCATTTATGTATCAGTTGTACCGGTTGTCTAGTTGTCCCTATTAATATGTCAGTTGTACCATTTTTATCAGTTGTACTATTATATTTCAGTAATACCATTTGTACCAATTGTACTATTATATTTCAGTTGTACCATTTGGATCAGTCATCTTACAATCTCTCATCTGTACCAGTTGTATTATTATTTCTTAGTTGTACAAAGTTGTACCTAGTTATACTATTCCGTACTAATTCGCCCTAATTTCATTAAGGGTAATTTGGGGATATCACATTTATGGTGGCACTCAGATTATAAGATGGCACGCCAGATTAATTTTTTTCAAATAGTGGCATATGTGGCTCGGACTCCAAGATTGTGGACATCGTTGTGTCGTTTATCATCGCCATGTCCGAGCAAAAACGTCATCTGGTGAATACGAGAGAGCATGAACGAAGCTTGATGAATTCAAGAAAACGTTTTAGGAATTTTAATTACTGATACCATATGATCGATATCTCAATGTATGATTAAACTATTATGATATTATCATATTTTCTCATATTATTATGACACGATTCTATTTTCCTCAGTTCGTTGTAGTGATTTGGATGGTTTTGTATTAATAATATTTTCTACGATTATTATATCCGTCGATATTATCATCTTAGTCGTTTTCTTTGTTTCGCACTATCCTAAAAATAATATTTGTTTCGCACACCCTAATTCTCTAACACAATATATATCATGCTTTTTTCTCCATCTTCATTCGTCATGTTGTCTATCTTTTTTTTTCTTCTATACCACATATCGGTTTTCTGTTTATATTTTTCGAGTTTTAGTTATAAGTTTAAGTAGACCACTGGCTCTATTAATAAAAGAACACAGCCTTCTCAGTCGTTCTTTTTTTTATTGTCCAGTGCTAAAGTTACAAGATATTTGACAAAGAAGAAATCATCAAAAGAAGAATAAAAATGATTGGAAGATTTTCAACTAATTTTATCAAAATTAGAAGATTTTCAACTACTCCTTGACCTAATTGTGGAGATACTCAAAAAAACTCCCAACAAAATCTTTGATGAGGTTCCAATGTGTCTCAAAGCAATGGTCATCCATTATAAGCAAAAGATCATTTGATGGTTTTACTTAGTATTAGTTTATAATCTATTATATTGTTTTGCATCTATTTAGGAAAAGATTGAAGGAGAAGAAAGAAACCAAGTGAGACATGGAGAAGAAAAAGGTGATATATAGTAGGATTTTTGGATTCTTTTAGTGTTTGTTTGTTGATTTTCTAATATTGGTTCCTTGACATTATGTGCTCAAATTAATCTCATTAGATGTGTTAGCGGCTCATTTATTCCTTAAAACAAAAGCATTTTAGGCTTATGATCATAGTTACCACTTTGCTCTTGCGAAGGTGTACGGTGACGCACGGCTGATCGGCTTGGTCATCAGTGAAGTTATGGATGGAAAGAAACGTGTCTCTCATTCTCTCTCCCAGGAAGAAAGTTATTATACATTCCATTGTCAAGGCTGTTGAGGATGAAGTGAAAGAACAAAATCCATTTATCTCATCACTCAAAGGTATAAGGCTTTGATTTCACGACCGAATCAAATTTCTAAGAGATACATATGTTTCTTCGTCAATTTTGATTTTATTTGCCTTGGTGACCAAGTTTGGTTAGGGTTTGGAAATCTATTATAAAGGTGTACGGGTAGATCTAGATGCAGTTTATTTCTCTTGGGAAAATAAAAAATTAAAAGATCCTTGAGTTTTTGCCTTTAATGTTCTGATAATGTTTTCTCTATTGCTTCTATTAATGTTCAGGTAGTGTGAAGATTGGTTGAATTATGTGCTTCAAAAGCCAGGCAATTCTGCGGGCTCAAGGACACTAAAAATACCTTATAGGATTGATAATTATAAGTAGATCTGTGTTTATGCGTGTTGGGAAACCCGAATGATACCACTTAGGTTGGTTGTATGTAACAACAAGCACACTTAACTGTAATCGTTCTCATTTATTTTCAAACTAAGCGTTTTTTTAATATATTTTGTATATCTATTCTTTGATTTTGGTGTCCAAAAATAAATATAGTGTTTCGACTTAATCATAGTTCTTTCTTTACTTTCTCTGATCGTTCGTTTCTTTATTACCCTCTTTTTTTGTGTTTCGCATACAACCAGAGTTTTTTTTTTTTCTCTCAAAAGAACAACAGTTTTATGATCAAAGAAACTTGGTTTCTAAACCCCTCTCTTTCAAAATCCAAGCGGTAGGGTGATAACGACCCTTTAATCATCAAACTGGGTGGGTAAATTCTGCTTAAAGCTTAGGTAAATTATGCTTGAATCTTAGGTCGACATCACCAGTCATGCTATTATATCTTTCATCAGAACCCAAACTCCATATGGTGGTACGTTGCAGAAGATAAAAAGTCAGTGGAAAATCGTGGTAGTCAAAGAAAAGGAGAAAAAAACCATACACGGCCAAATTAAAAAGCACGAGAGAAAATTATTTATAATGCACAAAGTGATCTAAATTTGATGATGAATGATTACAAATGATTTACGATTATGAACGTGATTACATGAGTGTCGATGGGATTTTATCAAAAAAAAAAAAAAAAGAGATTCCATGGGTAATTGATTACAACTGAATGCTTTGTTTGATATGTTCTGTTAATTTCTGTGCTTTTATTGGTATCGTCTAAGATTTCATGATGGCTCAGGAATCATTTATTAAACTTTGGAGGTCATTTTAAACATCTTGGAGCGTTTAGACCGACTCCTCATGCTTTTCAAATTCATTTGAAAACATCAACAACGGTTCGGAATATTTGAGTCTCGATAACTATTTCAATTTAATGGATTTTCAAGATGTATACAATTTGGATAATTATGTAGATGACATGAGATTCAAGCATAGCAGACCTACTGCTAAATCATCAACATGGTGGGAGACTAATATATTATTTCATTCTACAAAATTTCAATTTTTTTGATAATCACCAGCCATGAAAGCTATAGATTCAGGACGAGTTCTGGCTCCGGCAAGGTGCTGAGAGAGAACTTAAACTCATCATGTACATACTTGAGAGTCATGTCGTCATGACTTAGTCCTTCACCATCGTTAACGTACATCTAACAAAATGGTCGCTATGAAGCATCAAAATGTTCTTTAACGAAAAAATGTATTATACAAGGTCTCCAGACTTGAAATTGTAAATTTAAGTACATGAGAAAAAACGCTTCTGAAAATTGTGACATTTTTTTGTTTCTTGGTTTTGTTTTAATTTTTTTATAATATACCTTTTGTTACAATTTTGCTATTTGTTGATTATTTAGTTTTTTTCAGAGGCAGCCAATTAAGTCATTTTAACAATACGTGTTCACTATGGCAGCCAATTTATGACCCTATGATGCTAGAAAATATCAAAAAAAAAAGACGCTACAATCGGCAATCTGTAACTACCGTAATATCTTCGTATACATTTTAAAGTAAGTCACCTTATGTGGCGTAAGATGATTCAGTTCTCAAGGTTCTCAAGGTTTGTCTCTTTATATCCGATCAATAGTTTCTGGTTTTGCTTTACATATCTAGGAATTCAAATGAGTTTGGATTTATGATTGGTTTAAGTTAGTTAAGGGTTTAATTTCTAATGAGGTCTCGAAACACCTAATTGTATACTCTCCCTACAAAATTAAGCTTAATAGAAACGTAAGTCAATTAAAAGCCCTAACGAATCACTAAAAAGCCTAGATAATTTCGATGTTGTTTCCATGGGAGACGAGTGAACAAGGAAGATACAAAGCGCGGAGGATCTTGAACCAAAACATATCACCACCATCACTGGAGAAGGTGAATTAAGTTAGTTACAATACGAGGAAGAGATTCCGGAAAGTTAAAAATATTTTTGTGATGTCTATAAATTAGGGAACGGGTTATGATAAATACAAAACATGTGAGATACTAGCTCTATGGTCATAGATGATCTTTGTGATTAATAAATTTACTCTTATTAATGATCATGAAATAATGAAAAAATTAAGAGATGTTTTGATACCATTTTTCTTACACAACATTTAAAGTTTTTGTCTTGAATAATTTAAGAAACTTTTTAAGTTTTTTTCGACGGTTCCATTCGGCCGCGCAAGGCGCGGGGACTCACCTAGTTATATCTACTGTAGCTTACTTAGATACTAATATCATTAACTACACCGTTTAAACATTAATCAAAACACCTAAAATTTGAGACAAAACGACGTCACCAACATTTATTTTCTCCT